ATAGATATATATATATCATCTGGTGGATTTGAACTGTGTGCCATCGGGATTGCAGTGCAGCTTCTTACCACTAGTCCACCAGAGGTCCCTCTGTTGTTGTTGTTAGGTGCCATCAAGTTGTAGATGACTCATAGTGACCTTATGAATGAAAGGCCTGAGCACTGTTCATAGAGCTTCAAGAGGCATGCCATTTCAGAAGTGGATGCCCCTTCTGCTTCCAGGATTGTTTTAATTGGGAAGCTCCAGCAAACACTGTCCACTGTGGGTAACCACTATCGCATTTGGCATATCAGTGTCACAGTGTTCAGCATCACAGCAACCATGAGTTACCTCTGTACAGCAAATGCACAGACCAGTGCTATACCACCTGGAAGAATGTTTGACAGAAAAACAGTTTGAACCAGGCCTGAGGGCCGCAACTTAAAATCACCAACCTTGGGCGATTGGTAGAAGTCCTCAATGTCTATTTTTGGCTTTAGTTGATTGGTGCATAAATTTGAATAATTATATTAGCAGATTTTCCTTTTGTGTGTGTGGATATTATTGTAATACTGACAGTACTGTACTTTGGGAAAGATCTTGAAGTGTTCTTTTTGATGATGAATGCAACACCATTGTTTTTCTGTTTGTCATTCTCAATATAGTAGACTACATAGTTGTCAGATTAAAAATGACCAATACAAGTATATTTCAGTTCACTAATGCCTAGGATATTGATCTTTATTATGCATTCTGTTATGTTTTTGACAGCTACCAATTTTTTTAGAATCATAATTCATATATTTTATGCTCTGATTAATAATAGATGTTTTCAGCTATTTATTCTCATTTTAAGTTATGCCACATTGGCAAAGAAAGGCCCTGAGAGCTTTATTCTACCCGTGTCATTAAGGTAGATTCTACTCTGGGGAGGGAGTTCTACCCCAGGAACGTTTTGAGTGCCTTTCATCTGCTAGAGAACTATGTTAAACAATGTTAGGCTGCTGTTCATAAAGTGTCCTCCACTGACACCCATCTACTAGGAATAACCACGCTAATATATGATATTTTAATGGCAAGGCTTCCAGAAACACCCAAACTATCCCAGTATAATTGAACTCACAGAGAAATAGTAGGGGGGGGGGAATCTTTTAAAGGAGAACATATGTATCTGTGTCCCATTTCTTAAAAAATTAAAACAAAAAAACTCCAACAAACAAAACTTCAGGAAAAGGGTCTCCACATTATCAGTTGACAAAGAAAGTAGTCAAGCAACACATCTTCAGCAAGTAGGAGTAATTCTTGATTAATCTCTGCTTTGAAGCTTTTTTCTCTTGGTGTTCCTTTCCTCTCCTGCTCTCTAAGAGGAACACTGTTTATCACAAGGTAAATATAGTGTGTCTAAGTAGAGGATGTGGAACAATCCATAGACTAGAAGATAGTGATGCAGGCCTAGAAAATGAGTGTGGATAGTGGGGACAGGAGTGAAAGCCTTCATGGTTAAGCCACAGTCTTATGGTTACCTTATAGGGTGTGACCATAATCTTAATGACTAAGGAAAAGGAGTGATCTTGTTTGGTTGTTAAGAATCTTATTTACTTCTTGTTGTATACTGTAGTCACAATGTACCCATAGCTGACCCTCTAGTGGATTTTCAAGGCCAGTTAATCATATGGTAGGAGATTGCCCATCTTTCTCTCACAGAGCAGCTGGTGGATTTGAACCACATGCCTTTGGGCTGGTAGCACAACTCCTTACCATTAAGCTCCCTATTTATCTCTTTTTGTTGTTGATATGTACCATCCAGTCAGAACAAACTCATATCTGACCCTCCAGTGGATTTCCAGAGGCAGGAAATTGCATGGGAAGAGATTGCCCACCTTTATCCCGTGGAACAGCTGGTGGATTTGAACTGCAAGTCTTCAGATTGACGGTGCAGTTCCTTGACACTAGGCTACCAGGAAAGTTATTTAGGAGGGAGGTAATCTGAAAGATGGCAGGCTACTTAAGAGGGAATTTTAACAATCTAGTGAATGGGAACCTGATCTAGGGGATAGAAAGAAATGTATAGATTCCAGAGACAGCAATTTTAGTAACTGTGAGGCAGAGAGCATGGCTGGAGTGGTTACAATTGTTGTCTTCCTCTTATCTAGACACCTGGAAGATGGTAATACCCTTTATTTAAACCTGCATTGAGGAAAATACAGAGTTAGGCTGATCTTCACTCAGGCTTTATGACTGCCATCTAAATTGCCACCAATATTTTGGAAACAATCATTGTAGCATTTTGAGAAGAAAAGTTTTACAACAGCTGATTTTAAAAATTTGCTTTTTAAAAATTTTCCCCCTATCCTTATCCTTGCTAATGACAAGAGTTCATTGTGCAAAGAAAGAGAAATCATGAAAGGAGAGCCTGGAATGTGAAAATGTGTGTGTGTGTGTGTGTGTGTGTGCGCGCGCGCGCGCGCGCGCGCGTGTATAAGTGATGATAGCCAGAGATGACATTTTTGGTTCATTGTTTACTTGATAATCTTGAACTTTTTTTCATCTTACTGGCCAAAAGGCTGAGTAAGGAAAAAACTTGTTTCTATGTGCCGTGGAGTCAGAACTGGTTCAAAGCTGACTGTCTGGCAGGTTTTCAGAGGCCATAAATTACACAGGAGGAAATTGTCCATCTTTCTCCAATGGAGCAGCTGATAGATTCGAACCACATACTTTTATGTTGGTAACACAACTCATTACCACTGTGTCACCAGAGAAGGTGATGATCAAAGAGAAACTACTCAAAAAGTAAATTCTAGTTACCGTTGCTCAAGGTCCTGATTGAGAGAATCCCAGGGTTAGGTTGCCAAGATTCTAATTCTGGGTTTGCTGCTTAACCAGTTGATTATCTCTTATTAGTTTCTTCACCTGTAAAATGGAGATGCTAATAGTACTGGCTCATTTTGAAGGCTTGCATAGATTTTTATATGTAACCTACTTCGTTATTTTTATTTATTTAGAATAGTGTGGGGTACTGTTTCGTCAGGCAATATGGACTGAAAATCTGCAGATAATGGACAAATCTAAAATAGTAAGATTAATGGAAGTACCCTGTAATGACCTTTTCATACCTGTCTACAGGATTTTAGTGTCTATAGATAGCACTTGTAATTTATGTTGGGGCCTTGTAATTTGTTTCTCTCAGTAAAAGCATGTCACAAGTAGTGGAACTAGTAGTAATGATAATGGAGATAATAGCTTATATTTAACCTTCATATCGGTGAGGAGATGGGCTTTTAGAGAAGTTCAGAAGCAGCCTCAGGCCACAGAGCTGGTGAGTATTAGCCGAGGGGCCAGGCTGGCAGTCTGATCTTGTACCCAGTCAGGTACATTCAGATCGGTCCTGTTCTCTCAACAGCTGTCTCCCCCAAAGAGTAGAGAGTTGCTATAATTTCATTAAAGGTGATTGGATGCTCCCTTGATTATCGAGGTCTGAACCTTTGACTTTGAGTACTGTTCTCGTATATCGTAGAATTGTATCTGACCCATAGCAGACCCTCTGGTGGGTTTTCAGAAGCAGTAATCATGGGAGGAGATTGCCCATCCTTCTCTCTCGGAGCAGCTGATGGCCTCGAACTGTGCCTTTGGGATTACAATGCAGCTTCTTGATACTGGGCCACCAAAGTGTAGAATACCATTAATTTTTTTTTTCTCCTTTCTTTTTTAGATATCAGTTTTTCTTGCAAGTGAAGCAAGACGTCCTCCAGGGCCGGCTGCCCTGCCCCATCAACACTGCAGCTCAGCTGGGAGCTTATGCCATCCAGTGTAGGTTCTGCTTAAGTAGAGTTGATTTAAAAATGTCTAGAGAAAGATAACTGGATTTTCTTGTTGTAAAACTATAGATAACAAAACACTTGGTAATTCAACATGTTTTATGAATACAATCCTGAAACCCAGTTACACCAGTAATTTGTACAACCATTATCAATATCTGTTTCCAAATTTTGCATCACCATGAATAGAAGCAACTCAATACTTCCTAGAAACAGATACTCCCTCCCCACCCTGCCTCCACACACACTTGGTACAAAAACAAACAAAACTCCAACTTATTTGTCAAGTTGATTCTGAAGCCTAGTGCTGCTATAAGACAGAGTAGAGCTGCCTGTCCGGATATTGAAGGCTGTACTATAATCTTTGTGGAATCAGGCTGTCACAGCTTTCTCCTGTGAAACTGCTCATGGATTTGAACCATTGGGCTTTCATTTAGCAGTTGGGTGCTTTAATCATTGTGCAGCCAGGACTCGTCTTGCTCTTGATAACTACTATTAAACTCTAGTCTCTATGCATTTGCCAGAATGCTATTAGAATCCTCATTAGTAGACACTATTTCAAGATTTCATCTCGTGTACTTTGGATATACTATCAGGAGGTCCTACTCTCAGAAAAGGGCCTCATACTTGCTAAAGAAGGAAAAATAAAACACACTTCTGAAGCTGTAAACTGAATGGGAGGAGATGGCCCATCTTTCTGCCTTGAAACCACTAGGAGATTCGAACCAAGAGAGAAGAATAGACTTGGGCTTAGCATTGCAGCTCCCTGTGGCATCAGCCACAAGCTTTTCTTTTTAAAAGTAAAGGGTCAGTGGAAAAAAGGAAGACTCTCAAAGAGATCGATTGACAGACACACTAGCTTCAACAAAGGATTCAAACACAGCAAGGAGTGTGAAGATGGCATAGGAACAGGCAGTGTTTAGTCCTGTTGTATCAGGTCACTATGAGATAGACTGCCTTGACATCTAATGACACAAGTTAGACCATTTATCTTTCTGTGATTGACTTACTTCACCCAGCTTAATGTTTTCAAGGTTCAAGATAGATAGGGACCAAGTTTTACAGCATGGTCCTTATTTTTGCAAGCCAACAATAATTTGGAAAAACGTTCTAGTGATTAAAATCACATTGGGTTGAGTCTTGAAAGGTGGGTTAACATAGGAGGTGAATGTTTTGAAGACATAGTGAGTTTTCTGGCTCCCTTTCCCTTTGTGTGAAATTTAAGAGTGTTACATGTAGCATTCTGTCACATTTCCAGGATGTTATTTGTCATGTTTCCAGGATGTTATTTGGGGTAAATACATTTTGATTCACATGCATTATCTCTTGACATCATTATCAGAGAGTATATTGAGGTCATGGTTGTTTTTTTTACACCTCTAGTATTTCTAATGTATGCATTCTAAATTTTGTTTGTAATTTTTTAGTCTATATAATTAATTAAAATAATTGAAATTAAAGTTAATGTGATTATATTCTCTAGGAAAGCAAAAATACAGAACTTACATTTTTGTTTTTATTTCTAGTATCCACATATATGTTATAAAAAGTATTTATTAAATACATTTTTATTTTATGCTGGGTTAATTATAACGTTTGCGTACATTTTTTCACAACAGGTCTTTCCCATTTCCTTGACCCATTCCTCCCTCTAGCCATCAAATTGTGTGATCCTATTATTAGCACCCTTCCCATCCTCACCCCTCTGCTCCTACCCTGTACCCCCTTGGATCCTCATACACATTTTAATAGTTATTTTTCTATTTCTACAATAATGGTCTTGCATTGTTAATCAGAAGTATTTTATTAAACTTATTTTTATTATTATATATGAATTAATTAACAGTTAAACATTTAGAGAACATGTTTCCTAACATAGAAAAAAAATAGATTTTTCTTTTTCTTCCCAGCTGAACTTGGCGACTATGACCCATATAAGCATACTGCAGGATATGTCTCAGAGTACCGTTTTGTTCCCGATCAGAAGGAAGAACTTGAAGAAGCCATAGAAAGGATTCATAAAACTATAATGTAAGAGTCATTTTATGTTTCATTATCCACTAATTATTTCTGTGTGCTATTGGCAGGCACAAGAAAAATACTTAGAATGAAAAATTCTTCACCTTCTAGGACGCATTGTTCATAGAGTCACTATGAGTAACACTCGGCTCAGCGAGTTAACAAAAACATCAACAGCACTAAAATGCTCAGACAACACAATAATTTATAAAGTCTAAATGAGAAAACATGTTCCATAACCAGCAATACTTGGCATGACATTTTGTTCCATGACCTTTTGGATTTCTCAGCATTCATAGTTTTTCCTAGAAAATTTATGTGCATATGCCTTTATATTAATGGAAGTATTCTTTCTGTATTTTATTTTACAAACTTTTTTTTTTTAGTCACCAGGGCATTATAAAAAAGTATTTTTCTTAACTACAAATATGTTTCTTACCTACAAAAATGAACTACAAATGCCTTAATGCAGTCTGTATTTTACCTGTCTTATATTTTTGAAACCTTCAATTTTAGCTGTCCTATTCAGTTTATATCCGTAAATCCAGAAATGGTGATGACACCAGTGTAAAGATTCTGTGGGTATTATGTTAACATTGGAATATATGTGCTCCCATAGTAGGATTTTCCATTAAGGATATACATCATTGACATTTTAATTAGAATTATTTTGGTTAAATCCTCTAAACTGTTTTACGGCTTTCTAGATAATAACATTTCTCTTGGATTTGCTTGGTTTCGGATCCATTATAGTTAAGAACAAAGTGTAGAATAGATGGGTCAACAAAAATGTTTGCCTAAAGGAACTGTTTCAGTGAGTAGAAGCAGAAGTCAATTGCTGAATTACAATCAGAGAAACCAGGCTCTCCATCTTATATTAGCATGCACTAGAAGGCTCTCCAGCCTGATTATAGAGTCCTTCGTTTTAAGATTTTACTGAAGTGGATTCTAAGAGAGTACTTGCTATAACATTATGAAGGGCAGTGTGTTTGGTGCATTCTGAGAATACTAATTCTACTGGGAGTTTCAAAGTACAATTTTATTTTTAAATTATCAAGGAGCTATGATCCAGGGGCCTTATATGTGCTTTATGTGGTGATGTTAACAATGTGACTCTTATTTCTGAGAAAACAAAGCTTGGTCCCAGTTTGGTATTTTTCTTGTATCTAGTTTGTAATGGATATTCTTCCTGGATATCCAAAGTATAATATTGCTGAGTCCCCAGCCACTGAACCGAGACTGAAATAGGAATGTGTCAATGCACGAAAGTAAGAGTTGTTCTCCAAAAGTCTTAGGTCCTTTTGTTAATCATGAAAATCTCACTTTCTTCCCCACTTTTTGTGATACACAGAGAGTTTCACTTATCCACACAGATTCCTGGAAGATGCTCATTTTTGCTAGAAATCTTTGGTAATTTCTGTGTCTTCTGGTAGCCAAATGGTTAAGTAGTTGTGCTGTCAACCCAATGGCAGGTGGTTTGAATCCACCAATTGTTTTGGGGAGGAAATATGGACAGTGTCCTCCTCTGCAGCTTTCAGCCTCTGAAAACCCACTGGAGGCTTAGCTATGAGTTGTTTCTGACTTGGCAATGAGTTGTTTTACTTTTGTTTTCACCAGTGACGATTTCGGGAAGATTTCTGCACTTGAAATGGAGAGAAAAATGACATTTTAAAAATTTTCAAATGCTGATTGCTTTTGAAGTACACACATGCTCAGATGCTACTGTGACCTAACTTGGGCTAGAGGGGGACCATTCTCTCTTTTTGCCCATACATCTTAATTTCCTTTCTTCTGCGGGAGAGGTCTAGTACACAAAGATATTTTACTCTTTGCAAAGGGTATGTCTTAATGAGAGTGCTTGTAGCCTCAACAACTTCCTGGGGGAGAAACTGAGGACTTTTAATAGATGTTAGGACATTTGGGAGGAGCTTTTACGGTACTTGGCTCCTAACCAGAAAGCTAGTGGTTCAAACTCATCATTCCCTCCACTGGAGAAAAATGTGGCAGTCAACTTGCATGAAGGTTCACAACCTTGGAAATCCTGTGGGACAGTTCTCCCTCTCTTGGATGGTCCTTTGAGTAAAAATTGATATGACGACAGTAGGTTTAGTTTAGTCCACTGGGGACTTGGTTATGTGGCATAGTTGGTATGGAGTTGTGCTGCTAACACAAAGTCCACATTTCTCTGTTAGTTCGAGTCTGCCAGCAGCTATGAATGAGGAAGATGGGTGATCTCCTCCTTTTGACATACATTTTTGGAAACCCTGTGGGGGGGGGGTTCAGATATGAGTCATTTCTGATTCAAAGACAATAAGTGAGTGATCCCCTCAGAGTATTAAAATTTTGTTACCAAGAAGTCAGGGACCTTGAGAAAATGCAAAGACATTTATTTGCATTACAACAAAGGATTATTTCTCTTCCCCGTGCAATTTACTGCTTCTGAAAACCCACTGGAGGATCAGTTATGAGTTGGTTCTGAGCCAACAGTATGCAACAACAATGGAATAAAGATGGTTTATGTTCCCTGGGAGTGCAGTAGCTATCAGTAAAGTAAGGCTTTCTGGTTTTTTTCTTTGTTGTTGGGAATAGGGGTCAAGCTCCTTCAGAAGCTGAGCTGAATTACTTGAGGACTGCCAGGTCCCTGGAAATGTATGGTGCTGACCTCCATCCTGTCTATGTGAGTAACATTTAATTAACACAAAATATTTTAAGCTGATGACATTTTTCTTTAAAAGTCACTGAAACTCCCAAAGGAAAGCTGCAGTCGTGTTATAGAGCAAGCAGATGATACTTTTTTTTTATCTGTGCTTCTTTGAATTCAGAACATCTCTTGTGTGGATTAAACCCTAATGAGTTTTGCATAAAAGGCTGTGATTATATTTTCATGTGTAGAAAACAATTAACTGGGCTTGAAAACACAATCTGGATAACAGTTCCAAAGGGCTTCGTCTAAACGTCAAAACGATTTAAAATTGGTCTGTAATTGATTGTTGTAGACAGAAAACATGAGGGTTTTCCAAAAATAGACTTTATGGCTGAAAAACATTTATGAAACGATTTGGCAGGTAAAGTAAGCATTAGGCTGCAGGCCAAGGTACAGTTGTGGGTGGTTCTGTGTTGGATGTGTAAGTTCTGTCCATTATAAGGTCACTACTACCTGCTCTTGGTATCACTGCATTAATAGAAATGTTTTGCATATTTTCTCCAGGGAATAATGAAAACTTGCCAAATATAGCCCGTGAGCAATTACAGTGAGTCTGTGTGAGTGTTCTGGATCCTGGCCTCAGCCTTTGAGCCAGCTGTCTAAAGCTACCAATTGATTATTCTGTGCCAGAGAGACTGAAATGCCATTGCCTTTGATTTAAACGAGTTTAGTTAGCTGTAGTCACATTTGATTATTTGAGAGAAGGCATCAAGTGCCTTCATCTTCATAGGAAATGAATTGCTAAAGATTATATGGAGACTTTTTTATTTGTCAGTTGGATCACAGAACTCAATTTTTAAGGAACCTTGATAAAACTTCCTTTCACTAATGCATATAACTCACTCGTGTATCTTGTAATGTCTTTTGCTCATCAAGGTTTCCTAAAACAAGAAATCATCTCACAGTAATTTAAAGCACTAGAAGCATTCCTGAGGTTGTACTAATTCGGTGATTTAAAAAGGGTCCTGATTGGGGAAGGTAGCAATTCCTCTGATCTTAGATTCTTCTTACTATGGTGTGGAACTTTCCCCTCCCAACCACATTAATCTTGAGGTTTTCAGTTATTTGGTGTTTGGGGTGTTTTTGTTTTGTTTTGTTTTTTACAATTCTTTAGCATCTTGATAAAGAGAGATTATCTTGCAAAATGCTTTTGCATTTGTGTAATGTTTATCCTAATTGAAAGAAATTTTGGTTTTTGGTGAGAATTTATGGCAGATGATCTGGATTTGTTAGAACTGTCCATACATTCCTCTAGGATTGAATTTTTAGAGTTGAAAATGGGTAACAGCTGACATTCTTTCAAAGCATATTGATTGTTTTATGGTCCTTGTGAGAATAATTTTGCAAATTACTGTTTGAATAGAAACATCATTAATACAAGCAGGCAGTTTTGTACATGTCCTTGGTGGCCTCTCTACCTGTGACTTTTTCATTTCAGGATTCCATTTTCATCATTGAAATTTGCCTTTGCTTGGATATTAAGGGTCTCTAGATCCTGGATAAGACAGATTGACACAGTAATTGGGGTCATGGGGGTAGGTGTGCCAGAGACAGTGAAACTGGCTCAGGATAGAGCAGGCTTCAGAGCTATTATGCATGGGGTCACTATGAATTGCAAGCAACTCAACTGTACATAAAAATAAACAGTAGATCCTCAGTGAGGATTGAAACAGTGACTACAATGCACTTTTATATGATGAAGAGTGTAGCAATGACTCAGCAGGGGGCAGGGTTCAGGTCTGTTGTTCATAGGGTTACTATGAATTGTAGTTGACCTGATGGTACCCAACAACAATGAATTTTTGCCAGAGCTCTAGTAGTGTAGTGCATAATATACTGCGTTGCTAATCAAAAAGTCTTTAGTTCAAATCTGTCTAATAATTCCATGGGAGAAAGATGGACAGTAGCCTCTTAAAAATATTTACAGACTTGAAGGAGGGTTGCTGTAGGTCAGAATTGACTTGACAAGAATGGATTTATCTTTACTAGATTATTTAATTTTTAAATATCTTAACCATAAATGGAAGAGAGAGTATAATTAGAGAATCCATGCGTGAAGGCATTTAGCCACCTGGATACCCTGCACAGGGTGATGGCAGAAAAGACCACATAATTGTCCACATCAGAGACGGAGATCCAGATGGACCATTTGAAGGGACCCTTCATAAGCTAGTGGTTTTCTATCCCTGCTTGCCCAGGAGACGTGCCTGCAGCTTTTTTTTTTAAATGCTTACAATACCTAGGCCTCATTACTAGAGATTCTGATATAATTGGTTGCCATGACATCGAGGCATCAGCACTTAAAGCTACACAGGTGATTCCAATTAATGGGCACCACACTTGAATCCCACAGATATTAGCAGCATGGGGTGACTTGTTTAGGCTGCAGATTGATAGCCCAGCTTCCTTTTAGTTAGCTGCAGTTACAAGTGTGAATTAATTTAAGACATAAATGTTAAGACTTCGGAAAAATTAACAACAAACCAGTTATTCTAGCTTTACTAGTTAAACATGTTGCAAAGAAAGGCTATAACTTGGAGAGAGGCATCATGCTAGGAAAGTTGGAGGGTCGACAAAAGAGAAGACCCTCAACCGGATATATTGACACAGTCCTTGCAACACTGGGCTCGAGTATGTCAGAAATGATGAGGATAGCACAGCATTCAGATTTTTTGTTCATAGAGTCACTGGGAGTCATTCTCAACTAATGGCTTCTAACAACAGCATCTAGTGTTCTAAACAGATTATCTTTCAAATACTGTACCCACCGTTAGTGCAACAGACTTATGTTCACATAGCCCAATGCTGTTTGACAAAGAGCATTTACAGGAATAAATTGATGACTATAGACATATGCTTGGTTTTGCAGGGAGAAAACAAGTCTGAGTATTTCTTAGGATTAACTCCAGTTGGTGTTGTTGTCTACAAGAGTAAAAAGCAAGTGGGGAAGTATTTCTGGTAGGTATAACTTGAAAGCAGAATTGATGTGAAAGTTATGAAATAATAGGTATGCTGGGGTTATGAGGCTGTGTATGAATGAAAGGAATTGGTTGGGGGGGAACTATGTACCTCTATAATGGTTGGTAAAGAAATAATTGACACCCAGGACAGCTTAATATGTACTTTTCTCTACAAACTTTATGTAATAGCTTCCTTAACACTTTTGTCCATGGACACAGTGTATATAGTAAGATTGTCAGCCCATCTCGAGGCCTTACAAGACATCTGTATCCTTGTGCACTGTGAGCTGATTCTAAAGAGGATGTTGGGAAGTCTATAACCTTGTACGTACACTTTTCATCAGTAGGCAGTATTGATCATTAGGCTGACAACGTGATGATAAAGGAAGAAAAGATGGAAGTTGTTAAAGATTTCATTTGACTTGTATTCACAGTCAGCACCAATGAAGCAGTGATTAGGAAATCAAAACACGTGTTGTGTTGAGAAAATCTGCTGCCAAAGACCACTTTCAAGCGCTAATGAGTAAAGATGCTCGTTTAAAGATTAAGATTCAGCTGATCCAATGGATGGTATTTTCAGTTGTTTCGTATTATTGTGGAAGTTGGACCATGAAAAAAGAAAATCAAAGAACTGACACTTTTGAATTGTAGTGTTAGTGAAGAGTCCTGACTATCTCCTGGACCACCAGAGGAGTAAACACATCTGTCTTGGAAACAGTAAAACTGGGGGTGCTAATTGGTGGTGACGATGATGAAACTTTACCCCATGTACTTTGGGCTTGTTGCCAGGGTGGACCAGTCCCTAGAAAGATGGAGGATTAGTGAAGGAGAGAAAGCCTGATAAGATGATTGACATTGTGACTGTAATGTGAAGACAGTGAGAACGACACAAGATGGGGCAAAATTTTATTCTGTTGACCATAGTTAGTGAGGTGGGGTTGACTCAGTGACACCTAACAACAACATAACCCTAGACCTTCTTACCATATGACTTCACGTCCAGTTACAAAGTTGCCTTTGGAGAAATGGTCAGCCATTGAAAACTTTTGGGGCAACAGTTCTCATCTGGTACATTTGGAGTCACCATAAATTGGAGTCAATCGGTTTTGTTTTATTTTTTACTACAAATTTATTGGCGGAAAATGAAATCAGAATTTTGTTCAGGGGTATTTTCAGAGGAAGGGAAAAAGAATACTCTGTACTTAGGGATGAAGTATATTGACTACTATTAAGCAATCTTTTTCACTGGATACTACTCTGAATTTCTTAACAATTTTAAATAATAAAAACATCTGCTTTGTTTTTCAGGCCTCGGATTACAAAGGTTCACTTCAAGGAGACTCAGTTTGAACTCAGAGTCCTGGGAAAAGATGTAAGTTTTGTTTAGCATTTAGCTAAAGGAAGAGAGAAAGTATTTCCTGCTCATTTATAACTAAATATACCATGAAACAAACTGCTGATTTTCTTTCCAGCTGCAGCCAGATGGAACACGATTCCGATTTTCTGATTCATGTGCCTAACTTCTCAATGAAGGGAAGGGAAACTGAATAGGAATGAATGAGATGAGAATGAAGAAATGTCATTTTAATTTTAGTTAAAGAGGAAAAATCTTCCAGGTCCAGAAAGGAATAGGAAGTTGTTGTTGTTGTTGTTTTTGTTATGTGCCGTCAAGTTGCTTGCAAATCATAGCGACCCTGTGTACGACAGCCCTAAACTCCGCTCTGTCCTGTGCCAATCGCACAGTCTCTGACACTCCCATCCCAATTATCCCAGTCACTGAATCAATCCACCTCACAGAGGGCCTTCCTCTCCTGCGCTGTCCCTCCACCCTCCCCAGCATGATGTCCCTCTGCATGGACTGGTCCCTCCTTACAACATGTCCAAAGTATGTCAGACGAAGCCCCAGAATCCTTGCCTCCTAGGAGTAGCCTGGTTTAACCCTCTCTAGGACAAATCTATTTGTTTTCCTAGCAGTCCATGGTACTCTTAATACTCTTCTCCAGCACCACACCTCAAAGGCATCAATTCTCCTTCTTTCCTCCTTGGTCATTGTCCAACTCTCTGATGCATAACAAGTGATTGCAAAGACCATGGCCTGTATCAGACACACCTTTGTCTCCAGAGAGACACCACTGCTCTTCAGCACTTTGGAGAGGTCCCTAACAGCAGACTTTCCCATGGCAATGCGCCTTTTAATTTCCTGGCTACTGGTGTCAAGAGTGTTGATTGTGGAGCCAAGCAAACTAAAGTTGTGTACAATCTCAATCTCTTCACCATCCATCCTGCTGCTGCCAATTGGTCCAGTGGTGAGAATCTTTGTCTTCTTGACATTGAGCTTCAATCCATATTGGAGGCTGCAGTCCTTGACCCTCTACTGCAAGCACTTCAGGTCCTCCTCAGTTTCAGCAAGCAGGGTTGTGTCGTCTGCATAACGCAGATTGTTGATAAATCATAGACCTATCTTGACCCCACATTTCTGCTCATAGAGCCCAGCCTCCCGGGTAATCTGTTCTGCATACATGTTGAAAAGGTATGGAGACAGGATGCATCCCTGGCATACGCCCTTCCCAATTTTGAACCATGCGCTGTTCCTTTGCTCTGTTCTGACGACTGCTTCCTGGTCGAAGTATAGGTTTCACATTAGCACGATCAAGTGTTCTGGGATTCCCATTCTTCTCAGAGTCAGCCACAGTTTCTTATTATCCACACAGTCAAATACCTTTGCATAGTCAATGAAACACAGATAGACATTCCTCTGGTATTCTCTGCTTTCAGCTAAGATCCATCTAACATCAGCTACAATATCCCTAGTACCATGACCCCTTCTAAACCCAGCCTGGACTTCTGGCAGTTCTCTGCTGATGTGCTGTTCCAGTCATTTTTGGATGATCTTCAGCAGAATCTTGCTTGCATGTGAAATCAATGAGATTGTTCTATAGTTTCCACACTCTGCGGGGGCACCTTTCTTTGGGATGGGAAGAAATACAGATCTCTTCCAGTCAGTTGGCCAAGAGATTGTTCTCCAGATTTCTTGGCACAACTTGGTGAGCACGTCCAGGGCAGCATCTGTTAACTGAAATATGTCAATTGGTATACCGTCTATTCCTGGGGCCTTATTTTTTGCCATTTCCTTCAAAGCAACCTGAACTTCTTCTTTCATCAACATAGGCTCTTGCTCATATGTTGTTTCATGAAATTCTTCTGTGTCTGCCAATTCCTTTCGATACAGTGATTCAGTATATTCTTTCCATCTTCTTTTCATACTCCCTGGATCATTTAACATTCTGCCTAAAGCATCCTTGATTATAGCAACTCGAGCTTTGAATTTGTTCTTCAGTTCCTTGTGTTTAAGAAATGCTGAGTGAGTTCTGCCTTTTTGATTTTCTGACTCCAACTCCTTGCACATTTCATTGTAATATTTCGCTTTGTCATCACGTGCTGCCTTTTGAAATCTTCTATTCAACTCTTTAGTATCTTGAATTCTTCCATGTGCTTTGGCTTCTCTGCACTCCAGTGCAATTTTCACAGTCTCTTCTGACATCCATTTTGGTCTTCCCTTCCTCTTCTGTCTTTGCAATGACCATTTGCACTCTTCCTGGATGATACCCTTGATATCCTCCCACAACTCATCTGGTCTTCGCTCATTAGTGTTCAAGGCCTCAAACCTGTTCCTGAGATGGTTCTGAAATTCAGGTGGGATAGACTAAAAATCATATTTAGTTGTCATTATTAGCAGATTATAATTATTAATAATATTATAATTATTAATGCATTATTATAAGCACTTGGTTTCTAACAGAAAAGTTGGTGGTTTGAACCCACCTGTTGACTCTGTGAGCTGTGATCTCTTCCTGTAAAGACTGTAGTGAGTGCTATTGAGTTGATTCAGGCTTACCGTAGCCCTATATGGCAGATTAGAACTGCCCCATGGGGATTCTTAGACTGATCTTTATGGAAAGAATTTATCTTCATATTTTTTTCTTTCACACAGCAACTGGTGGAGTTGAACCCTTCACCTTTTTGTTAACCAGGGCTTTTCAGTAGATATTGTTGTGTGTACCAGTGAGTCAGAACTGATTAATCACTTTCCTTCCAGTGTGTTTTCAGAGGCAGTAAATAAAATGGGAAGAGATTGCCTATCTCTCTCCCACAGAGCAGCTGGTGGATTCAAACCGCATGTCTTTGGGTTGGCACTGTGACTTCTTACCACTAAACCATCAGAGCTTCCTTTGGTAAAAACTACAGTCTTGAAACCCTAAGTTCTACTTTGTCACAGACATCCATTAGTTCTAATTTCTCATAGTTCACTGTGAGCCATAATTCGCCTTCATAACAGCTGACAGTAATAGCAATTATTGATAGTGTAACTTGCTGTTTAATACTCTATAAGGGCTTAGACTCTCCAAAGTGCTGAAGAACCATTATATCAGTTTAGTGTACCTGATCCAAGCTGTGATATTTTCAGTTGCTTCCAGTGCTTTTGAAAGTTGGACAATGAATAAGAATGACAGAAGAATCACTGCACGTGAACTGTGGCATTGTAGATGATGACTGAATATTCCGTAGAGTGTCAAAAAGAACAAACAGGTCTGTCTTGGAGGAAGTGCCACTTGGTTACTACTTGGAGGCAAGCGTGTTGAAACTTGGACTCATGATTTGGGCACATTGAAAGGGACCATGCCTTGGAAAAAGACATCATGATGGGAAAAGTGGAGGATGAGAGAAGGGCCCTCAACAAGGTGGATTGACACAGTTAACAATGAGCTTGAATGTATCATAAATCATAAAGATGGAGCAAGATAGGTAAGGTTCAGATCTACTGTTCAGAGGGTCGTTGTGAGGCCTAGACAGTTCAGTGGCATTTAACAATGACGACAACATGGAGGTAAGATTACTCTCATAAGGGTTTAGTCTACATACGGGATTAAAAAGTTATTTGCTTCAAGATTAACTAATAGACTGGAAGGAAGGACACTCTCCTCTTTACTTTGTTGAACTTGGTAGATAAACCAGTGCTTTCAAAGGAGGATGTCAGGAGCAGTGGCAAGGTGCTAATGTTGGTTTTGCATCTTGTTGGTGTCCTCCAACGCTGTGTGGGGAAAGGACACTGTGTTTGTCAGTGCCTGGAGAGTCACTCAAGCATTGGCAGGCAGTTTTTAGTGAACTGGACAAAAAGAAGGCATAGATGTAAAAGTTTCTTTTTAGTCTTCTCATGGAAACAACATTTTCATGAAATAGTATTTCAGTTGATCTGATAAATGAAGGTAGATGTGATGTAGAAGAATCAGCCTTTATGTTTTTGAACCTAAGTGAATAGAGTTGAATTGGCTTTCTTCTTGACGTATCTCAGATATCTAAGTAAAAAAAAAGTATGTTCAGCTTTATATGCATTATTAGAGATACAGACAAGGCACATATGTAACAGGAAGAGTGCAGACAGTCATTACAAAGACAGAAGAGGAAGAAAAGACCAAAATGGATGTCAGAACAGACTCTGAAGATGGCACTGGAGCGTAGAGAAGCCAAAGCACAAGGAAGAATTCAAGATACTAAAGAGCTGAACAGAAGATTCCAAAAGGCTGCTCGGAATGACAAAGCAAAA